CTGTTCCTGGGCTAAACCCCACGCACCAAGACAAAGGTGGGCACCGGATGTCCCATATCTGGCGGAGGGGTTCCCTACAGAGCACGTCAGGTGCACAAGAATCCCGAAGCCAGAGGCGAGTTTTGCCCAGAACTTCCATTTCAACGCCTCAGGAGAGAGAGTGGAAGGAGCTAGGTGTCGACGAGTGGCCTGGCAGGGAAGCCACTGGTTTGGCCCCAAAATATAATTCCGCAGCCCCTTCGGCCGAGACCCAGCTCGGAAAAGGAGACGAGGACACCTTGGTTTTTTTCAAAAAATCCCTTCTTGAAAGTCAAGGCTATCCGGCTATCCATTTATCATTGCACGCGCCAACTACCCAAAGAGTCCATTTTTGGGGGAAACCACCATGTCCTGACCATGCCCTGACTTTGAACCCTTGTTCTGAGACAAGGGTTCATTCAGCAGTCGCCAAGGGCCTTCCAAACATCGTGATAGCTGGAACAGGAAATGGTCCTCACTGCATAATGTGACCATGCAGTTCTCTTGAATGGTTGTGTGAAGGTGGTTGTGCAACGGTATGGTTTTGACTCCTCCTTACAGCCATTGCATGCGGCGGCCAGAGCTTTTTGCTGGAACAGGCCAACGGAACCCACCACACATCTGCTCCTATTGGCTCAGAGGGTGCGGCTTTTCGTGCGGCTCCTAGGAGTGGCTTGGGTTGCGTATGGAATTGGTGCCGGTTTCAGATTTCAGGACCTTCGGGTGCTAGATGCAGGATCCTAACTTCCAAGAGAAACGTGGTTAGCATAGCACGAGGAACGCAAGCTTGACATGCCGTACAAACCACAAACGCTGATGCCGAGTGGCGGGGGGAGAAACAATGCCAATGGCACATGTGCATTGTGGCAGCGGCTGGATTTTTCCATGGATCATGGCAAGATGAATTCCTATCTCAGCTGTCCGAGCCTCTGCCATGATCTACCCATGCAAATGACAATGTCATTGCTTCATGCAATGGGTGGCAAAAGTGGGCAACATCACATGCATTGACATATTGATATTTGTTTTGAAGTACTTGAGCATATCGGCATGTAAAAGCTTGCAGCGGGATGTCCCATGTCCGGGTCAAGGCTCCCAAGTCGAAGCCATATCCTTGGAAAACTTCTAGGAGCTCATGGCTCCCCCTTCGGAGGCAAATGTGAATACATATATATATATATATGTATATATTTATGTTGATTTCTTTAGTGAGTTACTCGTATTTGTTGATTGATTTATTTGTTGTGTTTTTTTTTGTACTCCCCAGGTCCGTGCCTCCCTTCCAGCTAGCTACTTGCTGCCCTGCAACATGTTCTCCTTCAACTGAACCAATCTAAGAGTTGCAACTGAATCGTGGACATGTTTTCAGTGGCATGCCGGGTCTCAGCCTGCCTCCCAGCTCCTGGATTTGCGACGCTTACTTCAACGACAGCAGCGTGGATTCCTCCGCGCTGGCGAACGAGCACGGCTCGCCACGGGAGGCCGAGTGAGGTCCCAGGCAGCCCCCGCGTAGGGTTGCCCGCAGCCGGGGTCGCTTTGCGGTTCCCCGCGAATTGTCTGGTTCCTTATTTGTTTTACTTTTTTGCGGGGAGGGTTCCATCTAACCCGCTCCGTCCCGAGATGTTTAGTTGGTTTAGTGAGATTTCATAGTTAGACTTTGAGCAGGGGATCTGAGGACAGCCCAGGTCAGTCCTCCCACTGCCTTGCGCCGGTTTCAATAACCTCGGTCAAGCTTGACACAAGCGAAAGGATGCCGCTTGCTTCTAGAAGCGGAATCAGACAATGTTTGCCTATAAACAAGTTTTTGTTGTGCGCCATTGTAAATGAGGACGCGTTAGTAGATCAGTTGTCCAGATCAGTCATAGTCAGCATTGGGCAAGGACGCGCTTGGGGCTGGGCCCCCGATTTTAAGATCCAGCAGACCTGGTTCCCAGGTTAGGGGATCACTTTTGTCCAGCCCCTCAATGGATACGGCGATGTGTCAAAACTAACTTTCTGCACGGGTTGTGCCCATTTCGATGAGAACGACTTAACTCAGGACTTTGTTCAAGGGGTTTGGGATTGCATCTCCAGCACGGCCAGCGGCCGATGAAACTGCGTGGTAAGGTCAAAGACCACTCGCGCATGCGTGTTGCACATGGTTCCGGCCAGAAGGATGGACGTTGAGTTGCGCACAAGAAACAAAGAGAGCTGCGCATGCTGGACTACGGGATGCTGAGGGTGCAAGCGCTGTGCGGCAATGTCTAATGACCGGTATGTCGACCTTTTTCAACTCCTGCCTGGGTCACATAGAATTTGAGTTGCTTCTCAGGCGGAAGGTCATAGCGTGGATGGACATCCTGCACCACCTAAGAAACCCTGGAATGATCAATGACTCCCCTGCAAATACCAACAACCATGGTTTCCAAGTGGTAACGGATGTCGCAACCATCCACAGTAGTGTGTCCATTCATTCAATCTCTTTGACTGCTGCACCTGCCAGTCCCTGCTCCAGAACCGCTCAGCAGCGGCAGCCTCAGACAGTCGTCTCGGGTTTGGGTGTGCCTCGTTGCGTTGTACTCAGCGGGCTTTCTCCGCTGTCAGGAAGATTCCCTCTCTGTGAAACCCCGCTTTCCCCCAAAACACACACTGCAAAGACAGTCGCATCCAGATGGTGTTTGTTGTTTCTTCGGCAAAGGTGTTGAGCATGCTCATTCCTCGGACACCCAATTCCACACTGATGCTGCTTGCTTGAGAGCTTGGGTAGGAAGCCTTCTGCCGGTACACCCTTCATAGGCAAACAGCACAGGCCGAACCAAGCACTGCAGGTTCAGAAATACATCCGCACATGCCTTTGTAGGTTTTTCCGCTATCCCGTACTCTGCCTCTAGACTTGAAGTCATTGGACAAAGCAGGATCGCCTTCTCAGGTATCCTAAGAGGAGGATCATTTTGCTTGGATGTTAGGACTTTAACTTTTTGCCAACTAATGGGTTTTCCATTCAAGCACCAAAACTTAAACTTTTAGCAGGGGAGCAGAAAGCAACCGAGCTAAGAGGAGGTGCCAGAATCCCAAGCTCAACCAGAGCCACAAGCCGAGGTAGCTCAAGCCATGCTGGCAGCTGGCGGACGCGTCAGCGTCGAGGCGCACGGTGCGAAACATCAGAGCGGCCACGGCTGGCAATCGCCAGGACGCCAAATATCAGGTGTGCGTTACTTACAATTCACGTGTGCCGTGCTGAAAGGCCTGCTTGATTGAGCGGTAGTAGTGGTAGCCGGCAACCGATATTGAGCCATCGCAAGGATTCTGATTGCGCGTTGCCTTGCCGGTTCTGAGCCTGGAACCGCCGACAGGTGGCAGGCAAAGCGGTCATGGCCGGCGGACCCAGAGAAGGTTTCATCCACCATCCTGAGGTTGTGACACAGATTGGCGCAAGAATCGTGAATAAAAATGTGGCCAAATGACCGTCAACATGCTGTTCTTGCTTCTTTATCCAGAGTTTGTGGTATGACCCATGCGCAGGTCTGCAGCCAGGGATTCTGTGACCCTTTTCGATTCATTGCCAACCGAACTGCCTTTTGCAATCCGGGGGGCCCAACGCTCAGATCGTATCCAAGGACATGTCCAACGGCGTCCTGCCGGGCATGGCATGCTCCTCAGATCTCCTCAGCATTCAGAAGGCTTGATCAGGGTGTGCTTGCACCGTACTTCGTTGTTCAAAGCCCACCTTTAAACGTGTTGGGGTTTTCCTTTTTTGGCCTCTGCTTCGTCCAATGTTATGTGGGGGCCCAGCATGAATTTTGACCCTGGCATACATGCCGACTGCAAGCAACGTCCTCCCTTGGTTGCCTCAAACCGCAAGCCACCAACGTAGTACGCTGACCGTGTCACTTCGCGTTTTCCCTGGGCTTCTTCCTCCCGGGTGGCCTTTGTTTCGGCTTTAGGCTCGTCGCATAGTGCTCCCGATCCATGGCGTCAGAATCCACAAAACAATCCCAAATCGATTTTCCATTCCGCCGCATCCCCAACCCCCAAGGGCCCAAATTCGTGACTGCCATGGCGCTGGTTGTGGCTGGGCCGAAAGCGCCCGCCCAATTGCAGCTCGAGGAGTTGGATGAGGCAAGGCCAAAACCTTTCCGCCGACTTGGCGGGGGAACAAATCCGTGGGTGGATTTCCTGGGACATCATTCAAAACCGGTGCTCGAAAACATGGCAGGGAAGACTTTTACAGATGGCTTAAGTGTCCCCCCAAAGAACCCTTCAGCACCCTCAAAGCTATGCCGCATGGTTTGAGTTGAGGCGACGAACCCAAGCAAATGTCTGGTTCGGATCCCACTCCGATACTTTTGTTGGTACCAGGCCTTCGGCCCCAACTACTTCGAGCACGGAAGGCTAATCTTCACCGTGGCTGCTTCGCTGAACAGTGCCACCTTTCTCGGCTGGTTTTCGATCGGGCTCTTCAAAAAACGCGTGATCCTTGTGCTAGATGGTAGTGGTTTCCCTTTGTCCTACTACGGATTGTAGATTAGGATTAGGGGTTTCCCATTCTGGACAACCGATCAATCCATTCGTTGCTCACAAGCGTGCCCTTTACCTGAGCTGGCATTTATCAATGAGGGGGGGAATACCTTCTCATTGGGCTGTGGCTGCTGGTTGCGGTGAGTTCGCAACTAGTGTCCAATTAATTGAACATTGGTTGAACAATCTGCCAAAGGCTTCGGCGCACATGCCCTTTAACTAGTTGAAATCAGCGTTATGCTGCTGTTGAGGGCTTAGCTGCAGAAAGGTCATGCAGGTGCCATGGAACTTGGTGGTTCCCAACCATCCCCCTTAGGTCTTTAGGAACAACTAAGAGTTCAACTTTTCGCAGGGGATCTGGGTAAGGACTTTCATGAGCGGTTTGTTTTCAGAAAATGACACCTCCGAGCACCTGAGAAGTGTGTTCAGCATTTTGTTTGGCTTTTTGAGAGTCCTTAGATCTGGGAACGAAAGCTGATTCCCGTGGTTTCGGCTTACAGAGCCCAGCGGCTGATGGCAGTCCAAATGGATGGGGGACGGTGGCTCTGGTAGGGATATGGGTGTTTCTCCAAATTGGGGACTTAATTATTTTATGGCTTGATGCCGTAAACGGCTTTTCTTTAGCCTCCAAAAAGGGGTCCCGCCATTTTGAGAAACCTCCATATAGAGATAAAGAGAGATAGGGAGAGATAGAGGGATACAGAGAGATATAGGTAGACATGGCTCGATATAGATAGATATGTATCGTGGAGAATCCTGAAGGGTTCTTCCATGTTGCAAGAGAGCGAGGCCCGGGATGTTGCGGGCATGATGAAGGTGGCGCACAAGCTGCAGCTGCTTGTATGCCTCGGGTCGGCGGTGTTTGGGTTGTTTGGGGTTCCAAAGGGGCACCCAAGGTAGACCACAGATTGTGCGGCTTCACCGTTTGGAGACGACTCCCACATCTGCAGAAATGCATGGCAAAGCTGCCATGTGCACTTGCTTGTGGCAGTCATGTCTTTTGCTGTGTGGTTTGGTCGCTGCTTTGTGGCTTGCCCTGCGGAACCTATGGCTCAGTTGTTCAAAGCCAACCTTTGGGCCTTCTGAGACGGGGATCTGCTGCAAGGCATTCAAGTGATCAGCGTCACGCCATCCCAGGCAGAAGACTCACGAGAAGCTAGGCTCGGAGCATGGGGTCTGGCTTGATGCTTAGGTGTGTCAGACGGGTCAGACGAAAGGACGAGGCGATTTGCGGATAACTTAACTTACCTGAAAGGGGACGACTGCGCAAGCGCCAGCCCCCCTGCAGGTTCCATGGTGGAGATTATCATGGAACACGTAACTCGCCGGCAGCCAGTTCACCAGTTCACCAGTTCCCCCACGAGGGAACTGCAAGGCACAAAATGGCCGATCAGGCCATGCAATTTCACATTTGGCTGCGTGAGGGTCGATACTGCGGGCAAGTTTGTCCAATGAACATGGCCATTGCCATTGTTGCAACATCTCATCTTGCTGGTGCTCGGTAGGGAATGTGGGAACGAACCCAGGGATCGCCACAAAGGAAACCAGAAGGGATGGTTTGTAAGGGTCATTCCCTCATTCCCTGCTGAGCACTAGCAAGTCATGGCTTGCTCAAGTGGCGGGTCGCAGCGGCGGGTGGACTTGCACCCAGGTGAAGCATGAGCTGTGGCTGAAGCTGCACGAGACAACGAGCAGCTGCAGCTTGCAGAAGGGGCACGAGGCGAGTCCAGAGAGTCATTCGCCTTGTTCAGAGTGCAGACGAAGCCTTTCACAAGCTCTTGTTGAATGTTCCCTTGCTGCGGTGTTTTCTTGCCATGTGGCATGATGCCTGTGATTAGCTGGCAATCTTTGAAGGCGTTGTAGTTGCCTGTGTTCTGCTTTTGTTCGGATCATGTTGGTAGCAGGTTGTTGAAGGAGGTATGGCATGGCGCCCATTGCCTCAAACCGGCGTCGAACATCTCTCGCCTTGCCACGCCTAAAGCTGCAAATACCGTGATACCCAGTCTTCACAAACTCAACATAAATGGATGCCCAGTCTCCTCTCTCTTGCCACGCAATGGATCCAGCAACGGATGCCCAGGCTTCACATGAGCCACAATCAAAACCCGGGTGGATGCAGGTTAGTAAGGGACAATCCCAAACATAAAATAGCTGCGGACATCCGCCTTCGTAATTCTTGAAGCATGGTTCTGGGATTACGACTATGTTATTACCGGGTTTTGATTATGACTCACATGTCTGACAAGATGGGTAATTATGGGTCAAAATTAAACCACCAGGAAATGGGCCGCAGTTTTAGTCCTTGTTTCCATTTACCAGGGCGCTTGCCATTTTGGGGTTCCCCTATTTTTGACCCACACCCAGATAGGGGTCCCTGTCAGAGGTCCGCTGTTCGCGGCTCGGCCTCAGGTCTCGGAGTACCAGGTGACGGACATCCCCGATGGCATCCGGCAGCATCCCTACCGCCGCGACCGGCTGCCCACCCTCGAGGCTCCGCAAAGCTCCGCCATTCCTTTGATGTTCTTTTTTGTATAGTGTGTGTGTGTGAGTGATTTTTCCGTTTTCTGTTGGGTGTGTCCCAGGCGCGCAGCAGATATGCTGCGGGGTCAAGTTGATTCACATTCCTTTGCTAGCTTTTCTATGCCTCGGGTGAGCTCCCAGGCGCGCAGGAAATATTCTGTGGCTGGTGGCGAAATCCAGGAACAAAGCATCCAAATTGAATTAGGCATGTGCATGTTTGATCAGAAACCCCGGTTTCTGATGACTCCCCTAATACCAACAAACAAGGATTTCCCCTGGCTTGCTGGTGAAATGGAATGAGCCCCTATGAAACCATCCAACTGGTGGTTTCCTTTGAGGGGGACCCCAGGTTCGTTTCCCTACTGAGCACTAGCAAGCTTGTTTTTATGCAGGGGTTTCTAGATGGCGTAGTGTGGCTGCCAGGTTGCCAGCATGACATGAACGGCTTCACTGGCTACAGCGGACAAAAACATGATGAGCCAGTCACGGGACAAACATGCAAACTACAATAAACATGAAATATACAAATGCCTCGCACAGGTGCTTCTGAATTGCGGACCCTTTCTGCCAAGCAATTGACCCTGATCCTCTCTGGCTGCAGCGCGCTCTCCACATCATAGGGGGTGAATGAGAGAGTTGTGGACTTGTGTGGAAGCTGGAAGTACAAGCATGCCGCATGCAACTCCAAATAGTTCAGCTTGGCCACCATGTTGGCTATGTTGCATTCAAATAGCAAGGCATTAAGCTGCCGATGTTGGCTTCACGTTCAACGTTACTTATATCTGCGATCCACCAGGAGTGAACTGTAAACATACATTGACCGTCAAAGTATCGAGAAGTTTTTACCCAGGAGGTTGCAGAGCATCCGCAATTCGTGGTACTAAGTGGAGCGGACCTTCACGTCTCATCGCGGATTTCAGGCTGAAACATCCGGATTGCGGGCCTTAATTGCTCTCCAGGGGCCATTACGCACGCAGGGCCTCATGCAAGAGAGTATGCAGTGTGACAGCCATTTGGGATCTTGTTTCATGCCAAGCGTTTGTCCGCCAGGCGGTGCGCAAAGTCTAGACATGTGTGCAGACACACGCACACGCAGACGTGGTTTGCCTGCGTGACGAATTCTGGCCGGTATACAGTTGGATGTGTTTGTGGGTCTCTTTTTTCTGGCGTTTGCTCAATGTTGGAGGATTGTTTAAGTTTGGCATTATCATGAGCTCCTCATTTTTTGTTTTACATTCATATGGTTCATAGTATTTCATAGTTTCCGCTCTGGCAAAGAACCATGCCGACATTTGGGAGTGGGTAGCTTTGTTTCGATTTGTGTGCAATGTAAGGCATCAGGCCAGCACCGAACCCAGCTCACATCGGACATGAAAGCTGTCAGCTGTTCACCTGGCTAAATGCCCCGCTGCCACTTAGGAGCGCGAATGAGGAGTGACAAGGGTCAGTGGTTCCCAGCCGTCTGGTTCCTTCGGTTTTAGTTGTTTTTAGTTGGTTTGGTCGGGTGTCCATTTAACCAGATTTCACTTTTCGCAGATCTGAGTTCGCGGGCAGCCCGGTTTTGGAGACTGCGGTTAAAAACCATGCGGCTCAAGTTCCCGCCGGTCCC